GACATCCCCAGCACCACCACCACACACACTTCAGACACCGATCACAAGTCCAGGTTGTCTCCTGTACGTCCGATCAACTGCCTCTAGATCAAAGGTCCCCACGACCCACTCCTTAGGTTTGATTAATTTACTAAGGTGGCTGGGGTGCCGAGGTGGCTCAGTTGGTTAAGCGTCTGCCTTCGGCTCAGGTCATGATCCCTCTTCTTCTCCCTTTGCCTGCTGCTCCCCCCACTTGTGCGCGCACTCTCTCTCTCTTTCTCTCTCTCTGACAAATAAATAAAATCAAATCTTAATAATAAATAAAAATAAAAAATAATTTAAAAAAACATAAAATGATGGGACTAGGGCAATTGATCAGATCACCAAATACATTTATTTACTTATTTATTCTACAAACCCCATTTAAAAGGTCAGTAAAAGAATGAAAGAAGGGGTCCCTGAATACAGAGAATGAGGGAGGGAACAGAAAATGGGCCGTGTAGGGACGCCTGGGTGGCTCAGTCGGTTAAGCGGCTGCCTTCGGCCCAGGTCATGATCCCAGGGTTCTGGGATCAAGTCCCACATTGGGCTCCTTGCTCAGCAGGGAGCCTGCTTCTCCCTCTCTCTCCTTCTGCTTGTGCTCTCTCTGTCAAATAAATAAAATCTTTAAAAAAAGAAAAAGAAAAAGAAAATGGGCCGTATAGACACACTTTGGGGAGAGGGCAAATAAATCCCTTATTTGCTTTGAGCTTCAGATTCCTTATCTGGGAAAGAGGAAGGAAAAGTCACTGATTTTCAGTATTCCATATTATGCTAGGCACTGTACTTCCTGGGATTGTTGGGAGCATTCACTGTAATAGATCAGAAGCATTTAGTAAAGCACACAGAAAACTGCCATTATTACTTTTAGTAATAGTGGTGGTTTTTTTGCCTATCAGACTGACAAGTATCGAAATAAGTGTCTTTACTTATTTAGAGAGTGCATATGTGTGAGTGGTGTGGGGGTGGGATGGGAGAGGGAGAGAGAGAATCCCAAGCAGACTCCGCCCAGCGAGCCCGATGCGCAGATGCGGGGCTGGATCCCACAACCCTGAGATGATCACCTGAGCCAAAAGCAGGAGTCAGATGCCCAACTGAGCCACTCAGGTGCCCCTAAAAGAAATGTCTTTAAAAATCAGTGTCTTG